CCCATACATCTGAAGGGCACCAAATTTGAGACTGCTATTACATATATCGTTTACTTAGAAGAAATCAGTGGCACAAATATATATTCATAACATTTCTGCATTGACAAAATAGATAAATGTAATTAGTTCATTGGGATTACTGAATGACTTTTAAGAATTTGCCTAAAGTATTGAACAATAGTTGAGAGATCTTGGTAAATAAATACAGTACTACAGCCAGGACAACAACTGGATAAGAGATATCTCAACCCATAGCAGGAATGGAAGTGGAGAAGTCTTGCTAGTTTTCCAGAAAGTAACGGGAAGGGAAGGAATTTTGAATTTGCAAGATTCTGTTATTGTAACTCTGCAATAATGGTAGTACTGGGACTCCTAACATTGGATTCCTATCTGGATTACCTTCAAGATATAAAAAGGAATCAATCAATAATTCAACTGGAGATGCCTTGCGTTAAAACTCTCATTTAATGAATGACTTGTTATAACCAGGCAATTTATCCAATCCCGGATAGCGGATGTGAGAGAAAAAGAGAGAGATCCAGCAGTTGGATGGTGAATGGATGGATGGGAAAATTGGACTTATACAGGAAATCTACGTAGGGGAATATAAAGTGATGGCTGTGAGATTTAATTTCCCATAGCAGGATGGATGCTGTATCATTTTCCTGCCTCAACCATGCTGCTGAATTTGGCTGATGTAGTTTTGAGGTGTGAACCACACAAAACCTGTATTATAAGCCCTACAACACAGCTAACAATAATGAAAACCCCCAATTCCAAGTGCAGAAAAAAGAGACTCTCAGTTTCACTAAGTGATATAAGGTAGCCTGTGCTGCAATACTTTCATTGATTGCGTTCCTCAAAGAAATGCTTATTTAAATGTGATTCTTAGTCCCCCAAAAATTGCTGTGTTTAGCTCTAGAGATTTAGAATATAATTTTATCTCTTTTGGGGAAGTTTCAGCAGATTGTATTTAACTCTGGATCATTTATCTCAATGAATAAATGAATGAGTATAATATTTTGACTCATTTGTTTAATTGGACTCTCTTCATCAGGTTTTAGGGATTGTAGGCAATAATTCTTAACAGAACTATCTTTGTATAAAACCATCCAAGTTAATGTTGGATGTTGGACAATAATTCCTATCACTCAAAGTGAGTATGTGAAAATAGTGGTTGGATATGATGGAAGCTGCAGTCTAAGACATCTGAAAGGGCCAACATAAAAAAAGATTTAGTTGACATGTCTGCTTTTTCTTTTTACATAATGTAAAGGAACGTATCTAAAATGTTGGCTTAAAGGAAAATCTCAAATGTACAGATTTCCCCACACGTAACACAGACCAACTATCATAGTGGGAAGCAGTGGCTGCAAGTGGGTGTAGCACACGATTCAGATGAGGGGAACTCATCTCATTGGATTAGAATTTATCAAGTGAACACTTGCTAAATTTGAAATTAGCATATAAAACTAATCCTTTCAGAATATGCTAAATTTGCCAAATCTTACAGAAGAGAAACAAATGTTTGTAATATATTGTGTTATATATTATAGTGTCTGTCTCTCCTCATATTTTTGCCTTTTGAATCAGTGCTAGAGAAAAGTCTAGCAGGATTGGAATAGATTTATAGCATTTATAGCATTTTCCCTGCATAAGTGATTTGTTAGCAAACCTCCCTTTGTTTAGAAAATAAACACTAGAGAAAACACAGATTTTAGATTTTAGCTACGTAGAATCAGAGAAAGCAAGGTGACTGTTTTACATACACATGATTGAGTCATAAACCAATCAACATAATTTTAATAGAGGTAGTTTTTACTTACAACCACAACTGGGATCAGAATTTCAGTTGTGATTCTTTAGTGAGACACATCTGAATTTACAGTCTTTTTTGCAGCAGTGGTTAAGCAAACCACTGCAGTTGCTAAATGAATAATGTCATTAAGCAAATCCAGGTTCCCTCATTGACTGCGGAAAACAGGTTGGGAAGTTCACAAATAAGGATTACATGACTCTGTGATCTAGGCTGCAACAGTTGTAAATGCCGGTTGCCAAACACTCCAATTCTGATCACTTGACTGTGGAAAAGCTGCAACAGTCGTTAAGTGAGTATCAGTTTAAGTACTTCCCCCCCCCCATACAAATCTAGTCAATGCAATTAAATGTATGATTCATCCTTCATGCAAACTCAAAATATTGTCGCCTGCAAACAAAGGTTAAGTTAATGCTGGATCTTATACAAGCAGCAAATAGCATGCTTGGAACAGCTGGGGGAGGGCATGGAACAGGTGCAGCATATTAGTGCCACTACATACTTGTTAAAAGCTGTGATCAAACATGCTAAAACAGTGGTCCATGTTCTTTTTAGACGCTAGGCATATTTCAAATTCTGAGATATTATGGTTAAATTTGTTAAATAGTTACTATGTGGCTTGCCTATTCTCAAAATGATTTTCACCAGGGCCACATTCAAGTTCTATGAGACGAGCAGAACAATAAGACCATGTGTTGCAAAACAAAGGCAGTCAAAATGCCAATCATATTTCTGTCACCCCACATTCAGATTCTAGTTTATCAGAATGCTACATGACAGCCGTCAATTTTCTCCTATATAATTTCTATGGCAAGGGAACATCACCAGAGTCAATTTCCTTTCTCCTAAAAAGTCATAGATTCAGAATGGAGTCCTTCAGCATGGTATTTATTTATAGTCCATCTTTATTATTTTTTATAAATAACTCAAAATGGCAAACTAATATTCCTTCCTCTTTGTTTTCACCAACACAGCAACTCAGTGAGGTGGCCTGGGTTGAGAGAGAGTGACTGGCCTAAAGTTACCCAGCCAGCCGGTTTTCAGGCCCAAGGAAACCAAGTGTGGTTTCTAAATCAGGCACCTTAACCACTTGACCAAACTGGCAACTTCCCACTTTTAAAAATAAAACCATTTCTATTTTCTATTTAATACGTGGGATTGCCTGGTTATACAAAGCAAACAATGCCCCAAGATCCATTCTGGGCGTTGTCCCAAAGTTGCTTTTTTCAAGAGGCAACTTCCTTGTTTTTCTGTGAAGACATTTTGCTTCTCACCCAAGAAGCTTCTTCAGCTCTGACTTGGATGGAGGGAAATGGAAGGATTTATACTCCTTGCAGACAGATTGTCAACTGCAAGGAGAATAAATCCTTCCATTCCCCACCATTCAGTCAGAGCTGAAGAATGCCATCTGTAGGGTCTCCTGCTTGGGCCGGGGGTTGGACTAAATGACCCAACAAGGCCCCTTCCAATTCTGTTAATCTGTATAAATCTGTATAAGCTTCTTGGATGAGAAGCTAAACGTCTTCAAAGAAAAAGTCCAGTTGCCTCTTGAAAAAAGCACCTTGGGGACAACCATGATCTGGATCAACTGTCTCCAACCTTGGCCACTTCAAGACTTGTGGACTTCAATTCCCAGAATTCCTCAGCCAGCTTTGCTTTGCTTTGCTTTGCTGGCTGAGGAATTCTGGGAGTTGAAGTCCACAAGTCTTAAAGTGGCCAAGGTTGGAGAGCCCTGATCTGGATGGCTGAGAATCTCCATAGACATTCTAGGCATTGCAGCAACTAAACTCTAGTAACATCAACGATGCCGAGCTTCATGCAAAACGGTAGATAAGACCGCGAACGAGCCGATCTCCCGCGGCTTGAGAATGATGAGCTGGTTTACACGAGGCGCTTAAAAAGACCTTCGCTTTGCCGTCGTGGCTGGTAAACCGCGGTTTTAACCTGCTGCGTGGCCACAGCCGCCATCGCCATCGATCCGTAGGGTTAAGTTAGCGGCATACAAAAGCTACGCAGACAAAAGGGCAAGAAAATCCGAGGGTCACCTCCGCAGGGAAGCGGCGTTCACGTGACGGAAAGCTCCGACGCCTAAGTAAGACCACAGTTTTGCCCCCTCCCCCACATCACCACACACTTCCGCGCCTCGCATGCGCAGTCGGTAGCAGGCGCCGCGGCTGAGGGTCTTCTCTTGTCCTCCTTCGCGTCGGTCTTGCTGCTTTGAGAAAGGTGCGGAGAGGGAGGGGGGGAGTTCCGCACGGTGACGTAATAAGGTGCCATAGCGACAACGTTCTAAGTAAAGAAACAAGAGCGGCTTCCGCAGGGAGAGTTTGGTGCGGCGGCTGCAGGTTGGTTTGCGGGGCGGGAGGCTTAAGATTCAATGGTGGTAATGGAAAGGCTGGGGAGGAGGGTTGTCGGTGTCTTTTCTTCCCCGCAAGGAGAGGCAAATAGGGACGGTGGGTGTAGCAGCAGCAGCAGCAGCAGCAGCAGCAACTTAACACCCTTAAAAAGTAGTTTATATCCCGGTTGCACAGACCGCAAAGCAACGCTTGGGTTTGTTTTTATTTATATGCCTCTGAGCCTGCCTTTCTTCCAAGGAGGTCAAGATTTTCTGGTAGTTTTTCACAACAACCTTGTAAGGTAGGACGGTGGCTTCTTGTGGTTGCAGGAACGAGCCGGGAATTCTCCGGCTGAAATGTTGAGGCTCAAAATACAGCCTTCCATCCTCTCCGAGGTGGGTAAAATGAGGACCCAGATTATTGGGGGCAATAGGCTGACTCTATAAACCGCTTAGAGAGGAGCTGTAAAACACTGTGAAGTGGTATATAAGTCTAAGTGCTATTGCTATTGCTATTACAGGTAGTCCTCGACTTGGCAACGGTTCATGTAGTGACCGATGTTAACAATGGCACTGAAAAAAAGTGACTTGGGACCATTTTTCACACTTCTGACCATTGCAGCATCTCTCTGTGAACATGTGATCGACATTCAGATGGTTGGCAACTGACTCATATTTATGACGGTTGCAGTGTCCTTGGGTCATGCTTTTGCAACCTTTTGACAAGCAAAGGCAATGGGAAAGACAGACTTGCTTTAACGGTGTTGCTATTTTGACTGCTGCAGTGATTCACTTAACAACTCTGGCAAGAAAGGTCCTTAAATGGGGCAAAGCTTACTTAACAATTGTCTCGCTTAGCAACCGAAGTGTTGGGCTCAATCGTAAGTCGAGGACTTACCTGTATTAGCAATTGTAGCAGTTGTTCCACTCTGAGGATGAAGGTTTGTAGCCTAACGTATCTGGAGGAGACTAGAGACGAGGTAATTGAATTCCCAAGCACGTTTTACGGAACACACCTAGCATTCAGGAAGAAATTCTTATTGGAATTCTGCCCTGTCTCTTGCTTCAGTCAGCGGAACATTTAATTGTTTGTGAAGAATTGATAGCTGTAGTCCATGCCAGTTGTGGTCCTAAATTTTCCTGCAGTGATGCAGTGGGTGGGCTTAACTGTGGGGGGGGGGAGGAAAGTTTATAATCGAAGTATTGTTTTTCAGGCAGAAGAATGGACTGGGTCTGCTCTTTGTCTTAGTTTGGAGGCAAAGCAGGAGGGTGTTGGGTTGAAGGTTTTTCTTCTTCATTCATTTTGTAATAGAAACTGCGTTGTACCCACAGCTGCTGTGTTTCTTCAGTTGCAACTCCCAAGTTGCATAATTTCCACAGGCAGATTGTTTGCTTACCCAACTCTTTTCTTTTGCATTGTGATGGCATTATTTTGGTCACACCTTTAGTATAAACGAACTTTCCCTCATATTGCTTGTTCCGTTGTTAGGAAGCAGCACAGTAATGTAATTTATATTTTAGGCTCAGTGCTACAATTTTCTTTAAATAAAAATTGACTAATTAGCACTGTTTTAGCAGTGTTATAGAGGTGTGATTAAACGAGAGTTACAATAGAGAACATTGTCTAAAAATGTTGGTAGTATTATTTTTCTATTAAAAGTGTTAAAAGCTGAGCTTAATCCAAAGCATTGTGGTGTCAATGATTACCTTGCAGCCACCTTCCTTAATATTTATCAAATGTCTTGCTTCATCCAATTTTAATTTTAAAAAAAGAGATTAATTTTCAAAACAATTCTTTTCCCAATTTAAATATCAGTTTATTAAAAGATAAAAATACCAACAAAAATGAAAATAATGGGAAAATACAGAGGAAAAAGTAGAAGAGAAAAAAGTAAAGGAGAAAAGAAAAAGAAAACCATTAATTTCTAACGCCTTTTGATGCAATAGAGATGTCAAACTCGCAGTGCCATGTGACGTATCACGACTTTTTCCCCTTCACTAAACCAGGTGTGGGCATGGCCAGCACATGATGCATCTGGCCCGCGGGCTGTGAGTTTGACAGCCCTACAGTAGAATAAGGTAGTAACATAAATCCCTCAACTTTTTACTTTTATATAATCATATATACTAGCCATTTCCGTAATAACAAACCTATCTAATCAGCAAAAGCTAAAGTTTCTTTTTTCCCCTGTCTCAAAACAATTCTTAAATAAAATATAATAAATCAGAATCTGGCATGCAGTGAAGTATCAGGTTCATCTTCGAGTACCAGAATGTTTTGCAGTCCTTTGAGAGAAAATGATGGTGATTGCAGTTAAGCATAGTGCTTGAGAGTAGGTCTACTTTCCCAGAAAACTGGATAGGAAATTAAACTGGATGATATAAACCAAGCTAAGGGCAAAGGTAATAGCAGAGGACCGCTTTCTGGAAAGTAAGTGCCTGATCATGAACAATATTTGGGGTGCACTAATGACACAAGTGTTAAGCCTGGATTCCCCAACGGGTGTTAAGGAAAACAAACTAA